GGAAAACCTGGGAGTGAAGATAGATGGTCGGCAACTACACCACCTCCGCTTTGCTGATGACATCGTTCTAATAACACCAAACATCAACCAAGCGGCACAAATGCTGAACAACTTTGACCGTGAATGTGGAAAGGTCGGACTACAGCTGTATCTTACGAAGACAATGTTTGTGAGAAACAGCCTTGTTCCTGACGCTCCATTCGCTCTCAACGGAACCACCATCTCCGAATGCAACAGTTATATATACCTAGGTCGAGAAATCAACATGATGAATGACCTGGCACCTGAGTTGCGCAGGAGGAAGAGAGCGGCTTGGAATGCCTTTAAGAGCATTGAAGAAATAACTAAAAGGACAAAGAACCTCCAGCTAAGAGCACATCTCTTTGATTCCACTATTCTTCCTGCATTAACATATGCCTCAGAGACCTGGACCCTACGAAAACAGGATGAGAACACTATTCGGGTCTCTTAAAGAGGAATCGAAAGAACTATGCTTGGAATATCACGATTCACTCAAATGAGAGATAGAACCCGGAGTTCTGATCTTCATCAACGCTCAAGAATCAGGGACGCTGTCTCATTTGCCAAGACATCAAAAATCAGATGGGCTGGACACGTAATGAGGTTTACAGATAACCGCTGGACTAGAGCCATTACTGATTGGATTCCACGAGACATCAAAAGATCACGTGGACGCCCACCTATAAGATGGTCAGACTTCTTCGTCAAGACCCTAAATGATCGGTTTGAAGCTCTACATGTTCCTGAAACGAACAGATACCATTGGGCTAAGCTAGCATGCAACCGGGATGAATGGAGACGTTACTGGCACCCGCTCGAATAAATTGATGAATAACGGGGATTAAGTGATTAAGTGGTTAATATATATAATTGAGTTTTTAATACATTAACAGGAGCGATAGCACAGCGGTAGGGCGTTTGCCTTTGCACGCAGCCAACATGGCCGACCCGAGTTCGATTCCTCCGTCCCTCTCGGAGAGCCTGGCAAGCTACCGAGAGTATCTTGCCTGCACGGCAGAGCCTGGCAAGCTCCCCGTGACGTATTCGATATGCCAAACACAGTAACAACAAAGTCTCCAATGGAGACATTACTGGGACCACTCGAGCAAATCAATGATCAACAGGAGGGCCTTTACTTTACTTTACTTTTACTTTTATATATATACACCATTGCTTTAACATTTTTATAATTTTTGGTGGCTGTTCTCAAGAGTATGTCATTTTATTTTTAAGATATGTCATTTTATTTTTTCTGATTTTGTCTGCTTGGAAGTAAATTTTTGCATTTATTTTTTAAGTTACCTGTTTAGTAAATGTATTCAATTATTATTCCCTTTCCCCAAGGTTCTTTATGTTTTTTCTCTGTAAAAATGTTATTTTATATTTGAGAGCAATGTGGGCTTAGCTCCTTAAATTTAGTTTTGGAGATTTCTCATTAAATTATTTCACAATTAATCTATAATGACATGTTGATTTACTCTTTCAGATAGAAGTGATTTCTGAAAATGAGTTTTAGGTTCCCAAGTGCTAATGACATGTCTGAAAATTTGGGGTTGTATTATTTCAGTAAGTTAACAATCAGAATGAAATCAAAGATCAAGTAACACGTTCTTTTTAAACCCAAAAGTTAGTTTTGAAAGCATGGTCTGTTTTCCAGAATACATTTTTAGTTCATGCCTTTTCTCCTAGCTAGATACTAATCTTGGGATTTGGGAACACCAAGTGTGAAAGATGAACGTGAAAACTAAGGAGATTCAAGAAAGAGTAGAACTTCTTTGTGAGTGTAGAATATAGACTTTTTCCTCCCTTGGCTCAAGTTCTAGGTGAGACTAAAGCAAGTTGTCTATTGTCTCTATCTTTGTACATATCAATATGTAAAACAAAAATAAAATCAATGGTTATGTAGACACAAGTACGTGAAAAGGCGTCAGGCTTTGCATATGCTGTATAGTAGCGGTCAAGGAGAAGATCCAAAAGTGACTGAAAATGAACAAAGTGCCTGAAAAAATACAGCTTAACCTGGAAATAGGGGAAAGAATCAAGGATCATGAGTTGTGTGATCTTATCGCAGAGACCATGGCAGTTTTCAGGAGGAAGAGAGGACCCTCTAGGGATGGAGCGGGTGATCAGCAAAGACAGCTGAAGCAGATGTTGATTTCCCAGCTTCAACACAGGGTTGTCAGATTTATCAAATGGAATTGAACGCTGTTCAATTCCATCTGAATTTAAGAAATGTATCATAGAGTGTTTTAGTGCAAGTGTGTTCCATGCGTTGAGTGGGATTGACTTACATTAAAATAGTTTGTTTTGTGAATTTATATGTAATTCAAGGTTAATAAACTGTTTTCATGTGCTGGTCCCAGGAAGGCTTTCAGTGACTTAGCCCCTGCCACCATTTCAGCTATAGTTTAATTCTTACTACTACAATTAATTTTTTGTGCTATTGTGTAGATGGGTGACTAGGTTAGGATATTAATGTACGCTCTCTGTGAGATATGAAGAAGTGAAGTAGCAGAGCTTTGCAGGGGCCCTGACCTAGTGTAGAAATGGCAGCTCTGGAATGAAGTATTCTAGCAAGGTTCCAATGCAGTAGTGAATTCTCAGGACCTGGAGCAGGGATGAACTGAGCTCTGTTTTGTACTTTATCTAGTAATAATCCTTGGTAGCATTTGTGACCATCCCAGTAATGTTAAATAAAGAGCAAAGGGAAAGACAAACACCCAGAGGAATGATTCTAGTTGACCAGATTTTTTGGTTTATGTTTCTATGATTTTGGCTTTGGGGGCACATCTGGCGATGCTCAGGGCTTACTCCTGGCTCTTTGCTTGTGGATCACTCCTGGGAGACCCTATGTAGGGGATCAAAATATGGTCAGCCACATGCAGAAAAAGTATCTAACACCCTGTACCTTCTTTATATCTCCCTGGGCTATGTTTCATGTTGGAGTTATCTGACAAGTTAATTTGAGCTATGTCTTGTGGGGAGGGTAGTGGGCCACATCTTGAGGTTATTGAGGTTTATTCTTGGCTTTGTGCTCAGAGATCACTCCTAGAAGTGCTTGGGGGACCATACGCATTGTTGGTTACTGAACCAGAGTCAGCTGTGTTCAAAGCAAATATCTCAACCCCTGTACTATATTTCTGATTCCTCAATTTGCGGTTTTTCTGGAAGTTATCAAATTAAATTTATACATTCGAAATAAATACATCTCTAATTTGGTGTTTACAGTTAAGTGGTTTCATTTTTGCATATCCAAAGTGAGATGATTTTAACTTCATAAAATTTTGTGTGACAAACTTTTTGTAGAAAAATGTAGTATTTTATATTATGATATCCATATTATTATCCAAGAGGTTCATATGATTATTTGAGAGATAAGCCTAGGTTTTATTAGGATCTCTCAAAGTTGACACCAGTACCTATATTTTTCACCATTGTTTCAATCAATAGGATCATAGGATTGGGGTGGAAAGTGGTACAGTGTGGCCATTTCTATGGATGAAAAAGGAAGTAAAAGTTATTGTAAAGTGGGCAGAGTTTAAATTGTATTTTCCATGAGTGTCTTCCATCTCTTACTGTGACAACGTACTAATGAATTGTTGACTTTTAAATCTGGTCCAGAAACTGAAAAGGAAAAGGAAGATGGATTGTATTTTCCCTACTTCTAGCATGTAACAATTGTCAAAATAAAAATTCACATTTTTTTCTTTTTTTTTTTAATAAGGCTACTCTCTTCCTAGTACATTTCATTATGCCCTTGTCAATGGTGTAGCACATGTCACAATTATATGTCCTTTGGATCTTATCTTGACATATTATTCCTCTGTTTTATTACCAGTTTTAGACAGCACCATACTGCAGATTAAACCCTTGACATCCTGTTACAAAATACCAATGCATTCATTTAGAGTACTGTCAGAGTCTTTGACCATTTCAATATCCAACTTGCCAGAGATGTAGTAAAACACAATGGAATGAACAGTTTTTGTCAGGACTAGTAAGAACTAAAAATTTACATATAATAAAAAAAGCGATTGTTTTCTGCCTGTGAGGTAGAAACAGCAAGAGTTTCAAGGTTAATTATTTTAAAGGTTTTATTTCTCAATTATGAATGTTATAGGGTTCCCTTTACTTAGAATTTTTAATTAAAACCCAAGAGGAAAATCTCCAGGGGAGTGGAACTCTTTAAATGTCTTTTTAATTTAAAAAATATAATGATTGGGTAAATGACCATTCCATGATTGGTCGTGAGAGAAATTTCATGGAGCTAGGATTACTAAGTGTGCTCTCTACAATTTAGCAATTAGTCACTGTGAACATACTGAGCTTAACTTTTTCTAAATAAAAAATTTCCTCCCAGTGTCCATATTGCTTTTGACATTTGGGGATATATGATCGTCACTTGTATTCAATACACCATATTTATTTTGAACCAAAATGTCATTTATCAGTGTCAGACCAGATAAGATCTTGGTGAGACAATATATTCTCACATTGCTGCACCAGTTCATGAATTTTTTTTGAACAGAAAAGAAGGAAGATGTCTATGGTTAATTTAGGTGGTCTTGGAGCATTTTTAATAATAGCCTACAGAAGACAAGGGGAAAATTTTAGACGTGAAGACTGTTTTTTTTATTCTAAATTTTATTTTTATAAAGTTGTTAACAATAATTCATTACACTTAATATTCAAACTCAAATCCCACCACCACTTTCCCACCACCATATTTTGAATATTTACACACTAAATCTCAAACTGTGACTCCCAAAGCAGAACAAAATAATTAATTTCTATTGCTTGTTCTGAATAATCTGCTAAAAATGGTTCAAGTTTCCTTAGAGGAAAGTGTGTGAAGGTTCTTGCATTTCATACTGGAGCCATTAATCCCTTGTATAAGAGATTACAGACATGTTTGTTAAATACAATAAAATGATATGTGCTACTCTTGGTACATCATTGGTTTAGAGTATGAGAGGCTCCAGGAATTCTAAAATTTAAAATGCAATTTAAAACACAGCAGGTTCACCCATGGGTGAAGGCCTATGTTTCTCCCTTATGGGAGCTTTATTTCTGAGTCTCTGGATTATGGCCATTGATGAGATTATTAAACTGATAAGAACAGATACTACACTTAATCTTAGCCAAAAGGCCGAGAGTGATAGCACAGCAGTAGGGTGTTTGCTTTGCACGCAGCCGACCCGACCTACCCGGGTTCAGTTCCTCCGCCCCTCTCGGAGAGCCCGGCAAGCTACTGAGAGTATCTCTCTCACACGGCAAAGCCTGGCAAGCTACCTGTGACGTATTCGATATGCCAAACACAGTAACATCTCTCAATGGAGATGTTACTGGGCTCGCTCGAGCAAATCGATGAACAATGGGAGGACAGTGATGAATCAGTGATGATGAGATTATATGGCACCAGTGGCAGTTTGTGGGTGTGACTGCCAAGCTACTGGTAAATTTGGGAGATGGGGGTGGGTGGCCAATTCCAGCTCAGGCGAGCTTGAGATTTCAATCATGGGTCCCACGTACCTAGGATTTTTTGCAGATTCCCTCATGGGTGAAGCTTGTCCAAGTCTGTGAAGAGAAGCCAAGGGCATGGTGGTCATTGGGTTGTGGAGGTTTTCAGCTGCCTGTGCTTTGTTCAGGCAGGGAGGGAAACTCATCCTGTCCCCCTCTGAGTTGTCCCGGTGAAGACAGCCTTGCATGGGGTCTGGATGTTTATGTTGCTCTCTTCTGGAAGCTTTATTTCTGGGTTTCTGAATCATGCTTGTTGATGAGATTATATGGTGCCAGGTTGAAGACCATTTTGTGTTAGGCTATTATGGGGCAGGATTAGTTAACATTGTTAACCCATGAGACTGTACAACATAGTTATTGATTACTGGAGCAGGAGAATAGCACAGTGGGTAGGCGTTTGACCTGCATGCGACTGACCTGGATTTGATGCCGTGTGTCCCATATAGTCCCCTGAGTGCAGAGCCAGGATTAATCACTGACCATCTCCAGGTGTGATGCCCTCCCCCAAAAAAACCATAATTATTTCCTATTTTTAACAAGATCCTGAAATGGAAATGTAGGAATTAGGCAATTTTCAAAGACTGGCTCGTGTGGTCTACCTTGGAGAATGTTCTGTGTGTGCACTGGAGAAGAACAGGTATTCAACTATTGGGAATGGATGAAACATTATTTGTCCATTAGACCCATCTTTTTTAGTTATTCCATCAAAACCAATGTTTCCTTGTGCAGCTCATCTATCCAGCAGTGATAGAGGAGTGTTACCTGCTTCTATTGTGTTGCCATCATTATCTTCTTTCATGTCTATTAGCAGTTGTTTTAAATATTTTATAGTCCTTAATTAGGTGTAAATATGTTTAGTGTGAGTTGTTCTTGATATATTAATTCCTCTCTTTTTAATTTTACTATATTGCACCATTCTCTTCTGACATGTTAAGTCCCACTTGCTATATCTGCTATCAATCTTATGGGAGTTCCTTGTATTCCTTCTTTGATCTTATTTCTTTCAATATTCTATCTCTGTCTTTATTTTCTTGTCATCAAGATTGCAATGTACTTTGGCGATTTTCTTTTATTTCTGTTTTGTCTGAGCTATTGGGCCTCCTGAATTGAGGCCCATTCTCCTCAACTATGGAAATTTCTTATCTATGATTTCTTTAACTCATAGTTCTTCATCAAATTCTCCTTCCTATTCCTCAGGGATTCTGATGATTCTTATGTTGTTCCACTTGAACTCATACTATAGTTCTCTGGTATGAAGTTCATTCTTTTCAGAACCTTTTCCATTTTTTTGTTTTGTTTTTTGAGTCACACCTGGCAATGCACAAATGCACAGGGGTTACTCCTGGCTCTACACTCAGGAGTTACCCCTGGTGGTGCTCAGGGGACCATATGGGATGCTGGGTATCGAACCCAGGTCAGCTGCGTGCTAGGCAAATGCTCTACCTGTGCTATTGCTCCAGCCCCCATTTTTTTGTTTTTTGAGGTTTCCTGAATTTCATCTTGGAACTCACTGATTCTTTTCAGTTGCTGTTACTCTCCTGCTGAGGCTTCCACTAAATTTTTTATTTCACCTCAGTTCTATCATTTCTGATTATAATTTTCCCATTTCTGTTCTTATACTTTCTTGTGCTTTATTGACTACTTGTACCATTGTTTCCTTAATTTCATTAAACATGCTTATCTAAATGTCTCCTAAAGTCATTTTCTGAGACATTATGATACTATTTAGTGCTGATAGAGTCTTTCATACTGTTTTCTTCACTCATTGAATTTGTTGGTCCTCTATACAGCTTCCCCATTGTATCTGCTCTGCACTGAGGGTGAATCTTCACAGTTTGCTTCTGTGAGAGCTCTCTAAGGCATTAGAGTAAGTGTTGCTTTTCCCCTTCATGCTGCTTCTCCCTCAGCAACCATTTGCTGTTTCTGGTTTGTGATTTTTGAGACTTGGTGTGGATTATGTGGATTACTTTCAATATCATCTCAATTCTACCTTTCCAATGGTTGCAATTTATGTTGTATGATTTCTTACCACCACCACTAAATACCTTGTGAAAACTTTTCTGTGGGATATGTGGATAGATCTAGGAATGAAGTACTAGCAGCATGAAGTTCTTTTGACAACCAGAACTATTCCTGTATCTGTGAGTTCATCCCAGAAACTATGGCCTTGTGTACTGTGAAGTGTGATGAGTAGAGCTGTGTTGTGCTGATGCAGGGTTCAGGGTGAGCTTCCACTTCCAAAAAGACCCAGGGGGTATCTACTGGCCATAGAGCAAGCTGAAGGTCTTCGGTACAGATATACCCAGTTTCCCTCCCCGTCCCCTCTATGGCAGGCACTTTTCTTTTCTCTCCTTCCCCTACCCCCACTCCTTGCTCTTTGAAATTATAGTTTACAATACAGATACTAAAAGTTATCAGGTATATCCGTTTACAAGCTGAAGCTTTTTAAGTCTTTGACCTCTTTTCTGTTTCATATATCTAATTGATTCATACTAGATAATTCAAATGGGATTGCTTTAAAACTATGAGAGTGCTGCACCCATCTTTATTGGTTTTTATAGTTAGGATGAATAATTTCATTTACTTTTGTAACAATAAACTGATTAAGCTAAGAGAATTGGGGCATAAGAAGAGACTATTTCTGTGACTAGTAACCGAATTACTGAGGTACTGTTCCCCTGTAGGAAAAAGATCTTTGAAGTTTTTAAACTATTCTCAGCTTCCAAATCCTTAGAATTGTATTATGCATCTTTTGAAGAGTGGAAGTTAAAGAATAAAGTAAATATGAATAGGTTGAAATTTGAAAAAAACATCAAAATGAAAAATAATAAAAAACTTTTATGACCAACATAATGTAAACTTTGTACTGTAGAGCCAAAATATGTGTAAAAAATGGAAGATGTTAATTTAGAAGGATTAATTTTGGTCTTGCCTCCCTTTGGAGCCAAAAGAATGCGAGATGCCCTTGCCAATAATTTTCTTTTCCTTATACCTAGGTAGATTGATATATATATATGTATATATATATTATATATACATATTCTCTTAGCTAACTTTGGATGCCATAATTTTTTCTATAGATTTTACAATAATAATTTTTCTCATCTTGCTCAGGGTATATGGAGATTATGTAGCTATAGACACTATCCCTGTGGCTTTGCAATCAAAGTTTTTCTAAATACGCTCAGTCCAATTGTCTCCTTTGGGACACTTACAGTTCATCTGACAAGGGATTGGTTTGGAAAATGCAAATTTCATACCTAGAGACCAATTTAGCATGAGAATTCTGGAAGTCATCCCTTGCTTCTCTCTCTCCAGAGAGGCTCTCCTCCCTGCTTTATTGTTGCTTTTTGACCAGTAGTAGCTTCTACTTGCAGTTTGCATATAATGAGCTTTTGGTTGAGATTCATTGCCCTTCCTGCCACATTATTTTAGCAAAGATCCATTACCAGTGACAAAAATACCTTGAAATATAGCAGAAAATAAACCAAGCATTAATCACTTTTATCACAGAATAATTTTTAACATATGAAAGTACCAAAAATTTACAAATTCTAAAGCAGTATAAGACTGGATCATCAAATTCCATTTCCTATGGAAATTGCATAAAATATTTCTCAAAACCAAAATGGAAAACAAACCATGACAACTTTATTTTCCTAAGTATTCTTCTTTGGAAGCTTTGTATTTATTGTATAAAAGGGATTAAAAACTTGCCTTGATGAAATAAAAGACAGAGTTGCAGGCTTCTTGTGTTTTTCTATCTCTACAAAATTAGAGACAGATGTCTTATTGGAGGTATATCTTCATTGATTATAGCCTCTTTGGTTAGGGTTTTGGTTAGGGAGTTATAAATTATGCCCTATGGGTTAAATCCAACTAGATACTTGTTTTGTAAGTGGAGTTTTTTTGGAACACAGTCATGTACATTCATCTATCATTCTTTATGCAGCTTGCAAGCCATAGCTGCTTAGCTGCATAGTTGTGACAGAGATTATATGATTTACACTGTTAAAAATATTTACTCTCTGAACTTTTTCAGGAAACATTCATCTATCCCAGTTTTAGAATAATGAAAGGAGAGGATTTCTTCTTCCTCAGGTTCTGAGAAGACAATTTGAACTAGAAAATTCTGGAATTAAATGTGATTTCTTTGTAAGGCTGTCCTATAGATTTTGAAACCCATTAAGATTTGTGTTCAAACTCTGCTTTAAACTGAACTGGGGGACTATGTTAAGTTGATTAATGTTTCTGTTTGTTTGTTTGTTTGTTTGTTTGGGGGTCATACCTGTTGAGGCCAGAGATCACTTCTGCCTCTGCACTCAGGAATTACTTTTTCCAGTGCTTAGGGGACCATATGGGATGCCAGAGGACAAACATAGGTTGGCTGCATATAAAACAAGTGCCCTACCTGCTGTGCCATGTCTCAGGTATTGAGTTGTTTAATATTTCTAAACCACAGTGATTTCATCTCTAAAATAAGGATACCTCCTATTTTGAAAAACTGTTAGGATATTAAATGAGATAATATTCAGAGACTTTCGGTGCTTCCTAGTCATGTAAATACTCAGTGTAATTTTTTTTCCTGTTTAGTTCAAACTTATGCACACATAAATGTACAAATTCTTCTATCTAAACAAAT